GTATAAATACTAATAGCACAGAGGAGTCCTTTGGTGAATATTTTTTGTTACAGATTTTGTAAGATGCTTTAAGGACTCATTTTCTATGAGCCTATTTTACAAATTTTACACATAAATCAAATAAATATGGCAGTAGGGAACAGACTTTAAAAGTAGAGAAGTCAGACGAGCATATGGCAAATATCCTGATGTTGCTCAGTTGTAGTATGTATCTATATAAGTACAATTAGAACAAAGCTTCTTTTTGAACTGCTTTGGTAGGAATTGCTTGTGAGTAATATGACCTCAGTGTGTGCAAGAACATTAGTATGAAATTATTCATCAATAAATCACTCGGCAAATAATTCTCTCTCTCTGACATCCTGATTCATAATTACCTTGCTGTCTTTTGTTTACTAATGGCAGCTAAATCCCCAATCAAATGCCAGGTAGGGAACATAGTGAAGAAAAAATACCTGTGGGAAGAGACTGTGCAAAGCGATCGCTGAAAGAAAGTTTGAGAGAGGCCAAACTGGAGGATGGTTTTAATGACTTTTCCCCTTCCTTTCAGCCCTCACTTTTCTGGATTTCAGGGATTCTCTTCTTCACTGATTGGTTCTTTGTTGCTCTGTCTTTAGGGATGAGAGTGGTAGAATCTGTAGTGGCAGAAGATAAAAAGCGCTTCATGGACCTTACTTTCTTCTTAGCTTTGCTTGAATTTGTATAAGCAGCCTTTTTCTGAGGTTCACTTGTGAAAATACTGGACTGCCAGGGGAGAGATGCACTTGAACAAAAGTTGGGGAAAGGATACTCAGGAGCAGTAATTTTATGAATGATGCTTCCTGCATACAGCATCTTGTTTTTCTAACTTCATATCACATTGTGCCCTGAGGCAATATCACATCTGGCAGCTGCCAGCCTGCCTACCTCTACCTTACCATTGGAACAGTCTAATGTCTTGAAGGGGGAAAATGCCCTAATCAGAAAGGCACAGCAGAGAAGCAATGATTTTAAATATGCTATTCTGTTCAGCTTTGCAGACCACAAAATCCTGGAGACAAAATGTTGCACAATTAAAGCAGCTGTGGCAAAAGTGCAGTCACTTTGGTTTGGGCCAAGCACATACTCAGTCATTACACTAATTTAAAAACAGCCCTGAGGATCTCAGGAAGCCCTTGACTTCAAAATATAAATGCGTTTCTTCTGCTTCCTAACCATATAGTATTAGTCAAATGAATTTATTATAATAAAAAGTCCCCCTTTTCCTCTCCAGAGAGTACAGAACTGCACCTTACATATCTGTTTGTTTCTTCTAAAAACCCCTAGGATGGGTGCCCTGTCTCTGTTGGTTTCTAGGCACCTTTCCACCTCAATCTGCCTTGCCAAAACCATCAGATATCTCTGTCATGTGAACTAGGCAGTGAGCCAGCAGGTCAGAGCTTACACAATTTGTGGCGCCTACTTAAAGTGTCTGAGATTCTTACCAATCAGTCTGAACCTGGGGGCAAAGTGTAATTCTTTCCTTCATGCCCGTGTTTATAAAATCACACAAAGGTAAAGTATGACACCGGTGGATTGCGCTGGCTTTTTATTTTCTTATATTGGGGAACTCGGAAAACTCCTGCATTTCTTTGACTACAGCTTTATCCCTGCTTTCTGGTAAAGATGCAAAGCAGCTCGTGTGACAGCTGTCAAAAAGAGCAGGTTGAGTTAAAAGAAGTTATCTCCAGAAGGAGTGTGCTTAAAGCAGATTACAGTGTCTAAGGGCCTTACCCAGGTTTTAATTACTTCTTTTTCAGGCAACATTTCACTTAGCTGAATTTGAGGATTTTTTTTTTGTCTCCTGAGGCTTTTTAGACATACTGCAATACACACTGGCTACATAGGATTTCATTGCAAATGTACACCTTCTTCCTAAGTGCAAATGGTATTGTAATACTTTAATCAGTGTGAATGTGCAAAAACTGAGTCGGTCAAAAATTACATGGGGGGAAGGAATTTAAAAAAAAAAAAAAAGCAATTAATTCCCATTGCATTTTCTTTCTTCTTAACTGCAGGCTGAGGTCTCTTTGCACATAGTTTAACTGAGCTCCTCCTCAGAACATTGCTGCACCATTGCTAGTATGACCCAAACACACCCACACCCTCAGCCTGCTTCTTGACTGTTTTCCCAACCTGAATTTTTACACTCTCTACTGTTCAGTGCCTATCATCCCATTTACCAGTGGATTGAAAGCACAATAAAGATGAAAGTATAATCCTGCATGCCTATCATTTTCTGCCTCTTTGGTTTGAGACCGCAAGGGGAGACTGAAAGTAATATACTACTGATTATTCTACAATTTCCTTATGGCAGGGGCTAAATGGATCATACTGGATGTACAGTACAATGCAAGAATCTGGCGTTTGCTGGTTAACAAGTGCTCCAGGCCCCAGGCATGTTTGAGCTGGCTTTTGGGGCAGGTGGTTTGCTGGGGCAGCAGGTTGCTGAGTGGCCCCAGCCCTGCTGCCTGCTTGCTTCTCTGTAGGTGCCAGGCTGCCACTCCAGTGGGGCTTGCAGCTTCACAAGCAACAGTGAGAAACACCACCACTTGCCTTTTCTTTCAGGAGCTGAACCACATGGCTTGACTTTGTAAGGGTTTTTAGTTAGCACCCCAATCCATAACACCTGCTTCCTTCAGGACAGCAGCTGCAAAGCATCAGTCTGCCCCTCTCTCCTCATCCCAGGAGCTGCAAAATTTAGTATTGCTGCCAGGTTAGGGAGCCCCAAGATATCCCAGGGTTCCCATCACTCAAGTCTCTGAATGGTTTCCTTTCCTCTTGTCCTCACCTAAAACACATTGGGTAAAAGTGATTTGCCATCTAGCAATCACTTAGTAATTGGAACTTCAGATGCTGTATGTTACCATGCTCCTTTTACATATGCTCAATATATTTAATCATAAAAAGAGCTCACGTGTGGAAAACACATGCCTACTGTGGGTAGGCCAGCATTACAGCTCTGCGTCGAATAAGCTACCATGGATATACCCCACAGTTCCAGGAAACTTCTTCTTTAGGATACACACAAAACATGTAAACAAAGTTATAAAAATCAGCTGTGCTATTTTGCTTCCCTTCATGCTTCAGCTGTTGGTGTTTCTTTCACCCAGAAACAGATATTTCCCCAGGTTCCTAATAGTGTCGCTTATCCTTCAGGGATACATTTTTCCTCTGCAGTAGTGATTTGTACACCAGAGCTGCGTTACTATTAGGCCATGAGATGAAAGACACAGCAGACTTGTAATTGACTTTTTTGTTCACATATCTGCAGGAAAAGATCACACTTCTTCAGTTTTCTAGGAACACGCTTTTATGACTGGAAAAATACAGGGAGCAGGCTAAAGCTGGGCCTGCACAAGCCCAGCAGAGCCTAGCAGAGGCCTAGCAGAGTCAGTGTATTGGAGTAGCTGCCAGGATGGTGTCAAAAGGGAGTAGCGTGGCCAGCACACGCCATGCGGAGGAGAAAGAGGTATTTAGAGGGATTCTGAGAATATAAAACAAGAAATGAAGCAGGCTGACATTCAGCTGGTAATTGCACAGCAGCATTAACACTTCTCGCCACCCCTTCTTCGGTCAGGGGCACTAGCCCCGCTGTGACTGTGAATACCTGAATCCAGCCTCCCTTCAGACTGCCATTCCCCCACCTTGGGATCAACTCGGAAATGATTTTCTTGTACAAAGGTGCTGTGCTGACACAGACACTGTGCCCTGAGGTATTTATGAGGAATTTACAGTCTAATTGATAAGGACTAAAGGGTGACTGGTGGAAATGCCAACTTGGTAGGCATCTCTGACCCTTGGATGGGACACAAAGTGTCAGTACCTGAGGGCTGGCTCCAGGCAGTTTCTGGGCCTCTCAATCCCTCGAGGATGGTCAGATTAGGAACATGAAGTTTTACCAGATACAAGAGTGTTTGGAGCCAGCAATGCAGGAAAAGACTTATGTCATCTCCTCTCATGTTTTTCTTACTCATACCCAAAACTATGAGGAAATACTCTTCTTCAAAAGAATATCTTGCATATCAATAACCGGCTTCATCCAAGATCTCAAAGGGCTCTATATACAGTCATTAAGTGCAATTCCTATCTCACTGGTGCCCATGGAGAAGCTGGTAACTGAACTCAGAAGAATACACCCAGGAGAACTGACCTCCTGCACTCTTTCTTAACCTGCAAATTACATTTTCCTTAAAAACAAATAAATGACCCTAAAAATCCCAAAGAAGCTTTAGTTACAGAAAGAACAACAAGAAGCACAGTCTTGGTTGGTGGCATCACAAACCCCCATACTCAGGCTGGAACTCTCAGAAACGTTCAAGAACATTTGTGGAAATATAACTGTAACCATGTGGCTTTGGGAAGTCATGGCATGCCCAGCCCATTACTTGCTTCAGTAGGTGGGTGCAACTAGTTCATCAGTTATAAAACCAGCAAGCTGTCTGGGAAGCAGGGATGCGTGAATTCCTGGGAGTACAACATTTCTCCGATGTCTGATATTTCCTCTTTGCAGATATGATGATATCTGAGGCTGGAAGCCTGGAAAGTCTGGCAGATCATGCTGGCAAACTGGCAAAGTATGACAGTATTCTTTTGATTCTGAATGTAGATACCTTGATAGTGTGCAAGTGTTTTAATCTTGGGGCATATAGTAACTCAATGCATGAGAATGGGAAAGCAGAAGAGAAGAAGCCAGACATATCTCTGTTTTGTTCCAGTTTTGCTGTCTTGGTGGCTGGAAGGGTTAGTAAAATTTGTTCCTTACAAGGCTGGCACAATTGCAATGAACAGTCTAGGACAGGAGCATGGAGAATCCCAAGTGGGAAAACAAAATCTGTCTACAGCAAATGATCTCATCCCAGACCAAGACTCCCTGGGATAATGTGTGCCCACCTGTTAGTGTTTCAGCGACTGACAAAGCACGATACTAAGTCTCTAGTGCGCAGTTTCCAAGAACTTGGGCTGAGTTCAGTCAAAACTTAAAAAAAAAGAGTCTGCACATGTGAAGACTATTTAAGATGATGACCTGTCATTGCTAAAATTCCTGAAGAATGCAGGTAAGAAAACTTGCTTATCTCTGAGGTGTCCAAGTTTGCAGTCAGCCATGTGTGTGAGGTTTTTGCTCCCAGATCTTTAACTATTATCAGTATTCTCAAGCTGTTTGATATTTTATATATTTCTAGATGGCTCCCTATAAAAGAAAATGTATGTATTTATGCAGCTTACAGTCCTGCGCACCTCCAGTTCTTCTGCTTGTAGAGTATGGTAGTAAAGCAGTTATGAATTGCACGATGATGGAGGTATATGCCATAAAATAGATATGGGCTTGAAGCAAGTCGTATGTTTCCATGCCTTTTTAAACAAGTAGTATGATAAACAATATGATTACATAGGTATTACAGGAACTTCAAGAAGCTGGGAACCGGTCTTACCTTTCCATCCTCAAGGGGAAAATAGAATGTTTGTAATAATTTCAATGCCACACCACAAACTCCCACCATTCTCAATTAGGAGGCTCACCTTGAGGACCAAATAAAAAAATATGAAAACCATCTACTGGGCCTGAAAGCTCCAAACAAGGTTTTGAAATACTTAAAGAAAGAGTCCAAACCGGTGTTATGACATCCCTGCCAGTGTCTTAATTTTTCTGATACCAGACTCACTCTTAAAATGAGTTTAGAGTTGAAGATAACTGAGTGTAAATGTCATGTTTAAATCACAGGTGGATACTCCCAGAGCCTGGAAATTCAACTATTTGCATAAGACTTATATAATAATTCCAAAATATTTTCCCCACTGCCTGGTCAATGAATCTTAGCACTAAGAAAAATAATAATGGTCTAATCTCACTGCTCCTCCAGCACTCTTGTCTGCTGAACCTGAGGACTTTCTCTTCATAACATTGGTGTTAGGTACAGGTTCCATTCTTGTTCTTTGATCTTACAAAACAACTCCTTATGATTACTATATTTTCTAATGAAGACTGTAATAAAATAGAATCATAGAATCATAGAATAGAATCATAGAATCATAGAATCATAGAATCGTTAGGGTTGGAAAGGACCTTAAGATCATCTAGTTCCAACCCCCCTGCCGTGGGCAGGGACACCTTACCCTAAATCATATCACCCAAGGCCTCGTCCAACCTGGCCTTGAACACTGCCAGGGATGGAGCATTCACAACCTCCCTGGGCAACCTATTCCAGTGCCTCAGCACCCTAACAGGAAAGTTCTGGTCTTTTTTTTCCTTTTTTTTTGTTATTTAACCACAAAATTTAATCAAAGCTTGACAAATAAAAGTCTAGCTTCTTGATCGATTCAAAATACGCTGATGATACAGAATGACCTAGTAGCAGATCTTAAAATGAATATACAATATTTCAAGCAATTTCCATGGTACAGGCTCCTTTTTAACGCAGGAAACCAGAAAAGAAGCAAAGTGAAATGAAATGGTCCCTTCATAGAAAGACTCCCATCTGAAAATTGTTTTAATTCAGGGCAGCCGTGGGTATAGTTTACATAATAAAAAACAGTTTTACTAAAGTGTCTGTGGTTATACTAAGTCGGTGTAGAGCTCCTGATCAAAGCTGCCTTGCAGCCAAAGTCATCAGCAACCCGACAGCGTGCTTTCGTGAAAAGGACTTTCCTTCTCAGCTGGGATGGCTCAGACCCACTCCCAAGAAAAACAGAGCTAAGCAGAAATGAGGGTGTAAAATCAAGACACCTTTTCCACTGGTTCAGTATTATGTATTAAAGACAGGGAGAGCTTGGACGGAGATGTGCACATTTAGGAAAATAACTGAGCTTTCCACAATCTGCCAGAGTTATGGCTTGGCAGAGCTGGTGTGAGAAGCCATGGGATTGGGGACTGTCACTTCTCTGTTGAAAGCTCTGCTCCTGTAGTCCCTCGGCTTCACTTATCAGCTGGAGGGAGAGATAATGCTCAAGCGAAGTGGGCCTTGATCTCTGCCAAATATATTTTCAGAGCTGAGGAAATAAACCAAGAATGTATTCTCCTGATCACAGAATTGATTCATTTAGAAAAATTTAAACAAGTAATTTTGTTTTCCCTTCTGTTATTTCACCAGTTCCAGTTCTAATCTGCAGTTTGTAGGAAGGAAAGTGCAATAGTGCAATCTTATGTTACAGTTACGTGAGAAAGAGAGACAAGGAGGGGCAGACTATGGAGTCTGCAAAGCGCTTCCCTAGGTGATCCAGGACTAAGCATATCGCAGCCCCCTAGGAGTCTTTTGTTTTTAGGTTGCCCCTTGATTTTTTCATTTTCCCTCCCTCCCCTAGGTATGTCACTTCTAAACATCAACCAAATAACTTCTATGAGCAGAAAATGAAGCCGCTACAATCCGTGTTCTTTTGAACTAGGACCCAATTTGATTGGCGTCTCCTGACTTTTAGTAAACTGTGTTTTCTGAAGTGTGAGAGAGATCCCTGCAGCAATAATGTCCATATCAAATCATAATTAAAAACAGCAGTGAGGAATGTGCTGAGATTTGAACTGTAGACCTCCCAGGCCTAAAGCCCAAATTGCAAAACAGGACTTTAAAGGCTCATAGAAGCTTTAAACATCAGACATTTAATCACAACTAGTCTGTAGGGATGATTTCCAAAAAAAGAAACAAAATCGCTCCACCACAGAGAATAATAACAAGATCTGAGTGAATGTTGTAGCAAAGAGACAGTTTCTTCACAAAGGGGTTACACGCTGTGCATCTACTTTTCCATTTACCAATGACAGCTTGAACATTTTCAAAGACATCTGCAGTGGGAATCATATTGAGCTAAACCTGGGGGAGAGGGAAGTAGGCTCTGAAGCAAGAGTACAGTATGCTTGTGATCCAATGGCAGCTTGCCATGAGTAGGAGGGCTCCACCCAAAAGTATCAAAAATAAATTAACACACCTATCTTTTCTTAGACTTCTTGGAACCTATACAGGTACTTCTGTCAACATCCCTACTACAAGATCCATTTACCCCTAGCTAAGGTCAGCAGGAAGGTGAATGAATAAACAGGCTTAAGAAAGGTCTGTTATGCTGGGTCAGGCCAAGGAGCTGTCTAGCTCAGTATCCTGTCCCTAACAGCAGAGACCTAGGGAAGGCATGAGTAAAGGACAAGTGTAAATGAAGTGATCCTGCTCTTCTTTGAAAGGGGATATTTCTGGCTCACTGGTGAGACCAATATGTTGAAGAAAACCTACACTGAATAAATGTTTGAACTGCTGTTTTTCTCATGAACCAGAATAGGATTTAAGTAATCTCAGGTACCTCTGATACCAGACCAGGACTGATCTAAAAATGTGGGATTCTGATGGTGGTGATGGAAGACAAATTAGCTGGGCACCGGATGGAGTGTTGCCCCTAGGTTGTGTATCTGCTTTACTGATAGAGGAGAGGCACTGCTGGCACACCTTCCTGACCCGCAGTATTGAACAATCCCAGATGCACTTCCTGATGGGTAAGCTGGCCAGCATGAATCAGCCTTATCCTTTATCTATAGGTTCAGGAGGCACATAGCTAACCACTGGCTTTATGTTAATGAGCTGAGGGAGGAAGGACTTTAATTTCCATGTGGGTCATTGGATCTTTCTCAAAGTCCTGTTTATGTGTTTGATGACTAAACCGCACTGTGACACTGAGCTTTTTTTGGTCTAATTCTTAACAAACCAATTACTCTAATTTAAGACAGCGGCGATTTTATTGCATATTAGGAAAACGAGTTGAGCTTTTTGGGATTTCCTGGCCTTTTCATATGATATCTTGGTATTGCTGATGGGGACAGTTTTTTGGCTGTCAGAGCTGTGTAGGTACACTGAAGTCAGTAGGTACCTGAGCAAGCTGTTGAAGAATATCAGAGACACTGGTGTCTAGAAATGTGGGAATTTGCAGAGAGAGATTTGAAGAGGGAGAGATTAAGCTTTCTTAAGTCTGAGGTCCATTGTAACAGAAGAGTTGTATTTCCCTAATCTTTCTACCAGCAGAGGTGGTGGGTGGAGAACAGATTTGATCATCTCAGGAAGACTCCCTGGTGCTAGTATTTGTCTTAGCATTTAAATGCACTAATGTTCCTACATTTAAGAGAGCTTTTTTCTGGTGGTGGCTGCAGTGGACATCTGCTGTCAAGGATTCCTACTGACTAAGGGAATGATACTAAGTCAGAACAAGAGTGTGAAAAATAGGACTATGCTGTCTCTTTTTGAGGAAACTGCCCTCTATGTCCAAAACCATCGTTCAATTTCTTAATTTCATGGCTTTTAAGATAAGCGTTTTCTTTCACAAGACCCAAAAGAAGACTGTATGTATGTATGTATGTATATATGCAAATACATGACAAAAGCTTCGTGGTCAATGTCCACCTTTTTTCTGGGTATCAGCCTCACACTGCCAATCTTTCAAACCCTGAAGGACAGAGCACTATTTAGTTTGTACTTAATCATACAGTATTCACCACAAAGATAATACTTAACAGAAAGAATTGGCTCTGGAGGGGTTCCTAAAAGAAACTGAATCCCCATCAATGGATGCTTGAAATCTGGAACACAGAGTTTGGAAGGAGAGACAAGGTCAATGCTGAATGGGGCTCCTTTTCAGTGTGTTGGTACATAAGATACAGGAGACAGAGAAGAAGTTACTTCCTGTGTTCCGTGAAATAAAGTTACAGAATCTACAAATGGGAGATGCTGCTTCTTAGTCATTGTTAATGAAACTGATGCTTTCCTCTTCACATGCTACAGCTCTAGAAAACTGTATGTGTTCAAAGCCAGCGCTTAACCACCTTTCAAACCCTGGAAACATCCTACATGAAAGGACCCACTGAAACTGGGACTAGACGTGAAAAAAGGGACACACTTCTTCAGCTGGAAGAAGCCCTGCCTTCTGGGATGTCCCAGAAAGAGACACATTAAGTATGGAAGTTGTAACTCAGATTTGAAATCAAGCTGTAATAATCAACACGTACACCCTGCAAAAGCAGAGAGCATGAAACCAAAGATATCCTTATCCACATCATCTTTTCTGGCAACTCAGGCAGACCCAAGCACAGAGCTCAATGCATGGCTATGTTGGAAATAGAATGTGACTGAGAGAAAACCAAGTGAGACGTAAGAATCATGAAGCTGAGGAAATGGATGAAAGGGATCATGGGTACAACTGTGAGAGGCAGGGAGAGAAAATGGGCACATGGGTGTAGCCACATACTTTATACCAGCTCAAGTTAATGATGTTATGGGAATAACATGCTGAATTTCACCGTTCAGGGAAATGATTTGCAGACTTGCTAGGATCCTGCTTTCAGCCTCTTGTCAGTGCTATTATTCAATGACTTATTTTGATTTCTAAAGAGTTCTCTTTCATATCCACCAGAATCAGACCTTCCTCAAGCTTGGGTTTAGGCAGGAAGCTAGCTTTCAGCTTGCTCTTCGGCTTCTCATATGAGAACTGGAAGGAGATAGGAGAAGCACCTGCCAAATGTTCCTTTAATACCTGAACTAGGAATCCTGTCCTACTGAGAGAGGAATGGGACAAAGACTGTGAGGGTATCAGAAGAGGACTAGGGACTAGTATTAGACTAAAGGTCTCAAAAGGGGTCTATGCATTAGTGGAAGGCAGATAATCTCCAGTCTGATCTTTTTGTGTGAAGAGAGGAATGCTACTGTCGGTACATGATATTCCCAATATCATGTACATGAAGCAAGAGACTGATGATGACATAATTATGCATTTAAACCATCTACAAGCCACAGCTGAGATCAAAGACAAAATCAGCCTTGCATTCCTACAGTAAAACCAAGCATAATGTGAGAAAGAGAAGGATTATGAGGGTGAGGGAACATGAAAATGGACTCCACATGTGACTTTCAGCCATCCAAGACCAGGGTTCTGAGCAGATGTCCCTCACCTATAGCATTCGTTCTCTGGCACTATTGTCTTGTAAAGAGGTGTTGATTCACCAAGGTCTGTGTATACACATATGGCTCCCAAGAGATATTTTTCAAGCATTTTGGGATTGTCTAGTTTCCAAAATTGACTTTGTGCAGCTTGGAGGTTTGTATGCCTGTATAGTACTTGATCTAAAGGAGGAATTGTATGTTCTATGCTCTTCTCTTGCTTTTCTTCATTTCACTTTATTCTAATAAATGCAGACCTTCCTGTTCCAATATGATATGATATAGTTTGAAGTAGAACTGCTCAGACTTACTCAAATCAAGCCACTTTGGATGTTAGGACTGGTAGAGCTTTACTGCTGTTCAGCACTCCATCTGACCTGTTTGAACTTGGAAGAAATAGGATCTCTTTACCCTAGGAGATGGCAGCATCAGTGGTTTGTGCTAGTGTTTGAGTTGGTGTTTTCAGGTCCAATTTATTAGCTAGCACTGTGCCCTGCAGAATGCATCCTCCATTCCTGGAGGGAACTAGGACAGCAGGATGCCTTCTATACCACACGAGTCTAAAAATAAACCACCAGAACAACAGGCAGCAGAACAACTTCTGCAAGATGTTTATGTCCTGAGCTCTTGGCCAACTTCCTTCCTAAGGTGCCACATTTCCCAGCCTGCCTGAATCCCATCTATAGCTTCAAGAGTTTCCATCTCATCTTGTGCTCAGTCCATGAATAACTGCCTTGTTATGTACATGCACGGTGGAAGGGTGGGGTGGAAAAACTCTGGTAGGAGCCTGTCTTCAGCTTGCAGTAAATACTTAACCAACAGAAACGTCAATGAGATTTGGCAGCTGTGAGGAGGACTTCTGGAAAATTGTGTCAGGTTCCTAGGAAGTGAGGGAGGCATTTGGTAATGGGTGGGGACATTTTTTCTTTCCCTTGCCATTTCTTGTCAGAGAAAGGGGAAGATCTAATTCCTCATTACTGATCTAAGGAAATCCCCTGCACCTAGAAACAATATCCTCTGCACATGGTCTATGCTTGTACTGTCTTTAGAGAAGTCTCAGGAGGAACCTCGAGTAGTGTAATACCAGGTCTGTAACTCTCCAACAGTCCCAGTAGCTGTGGGAGTCACAGAGGTTGCCTGTCTAGGAACATCAAGCAGAGAAAGGCAGAGAGCACAGTAAAAGCATCAGGAGATATCACTTTAAATCACTGTTTATTTCTGTTACCCTAACCTTTTTAACTTCTGAGTAATACAAAAAGTAAAATGATAATTTTTTTTCTCTTACCCAGTGAATATTGTTGTCTTCCTTGGCATTGGCCCATGACTATTTATCTAGCAGTAAATGTAATTTGAGGATTAAGCCTCCCTCCTTAATTCATAGTAGAAGAATCTTTCAGTGAAATATATTTCTTTTCTTTACTGTAAAATTTGTAAGTGCCTGGTCTTGCAGCTACAGTTTACAAGGCATTGAACATTCGTCTCCTGATGATAAAGGATGTCACTTAGCTCAGGAAGGCAAATTGCACTGGAGAACCTCTCTACTCTTCAGTGTCATATGATAATCAACAGTATCATTTGTACAAAGACACTATGACTTAAGGCAAAATTTGCACTGATCTGGAATAATTTATAGCAAATGCGTGCATCTCAATCACCTGGATTGGCTGAAGGTGTATTATTTACATATGTTGTAAATATTCTATACTTTATACATATTATATTTTATACATTTTATATTTAAAATAAAAAAAATACAAGCTCCATAATCTAGACTTCCATAAGCATACAACAGAAACCTTGTAATTAAATGCCTTTTGGAAAGGCATTCTACCTTTGATATGTAGGTACTGTATACAATTTTTTCTTTCTTATCTCACTTTCCTGACTGTTCTTCTGATCCTTGGTGCTGCAATTATTGCTAGAGATGGATCTGAAACAATATACTTGGTTTTGGCCTCCTCTTCTAGCCAGAAAAGTTGTTTGTCCAATAATGGAATTACCTTGATGTTCCATTTGCTTATTATACTATTGTCATCCTTTATGATGTCACTCCTGGAGGATCTGAAGGTTCTAAACTTAGAAGACTAGAAAGCAGCAGAACATTTTGTCTATTGAGGAGATCAGCTCTCTCTCCCACCTGCCCAGGTTGTGATGATCACAGCAAGGAGGCTAGAAAAATGCTGAAAATGTTCTGTAGCATGATGCACCTCCAAGGAGTTAAATCTTTCTGCTCAGTAGCTCGACTCCTCAACACACAGCAGGGCATATAAGCAGCCGCAAAAATCTTCCTTGCAAAAGTTACACCTGCCCTTTGGGTGGTAATAGTTTATAGCTCCTCTTGTTTTCCTCACAGCTTTTTTATTTGCTCAAATGTTTATATGGTGCTTCCATCCTGTGTGAATCTACAACAGCTTGCTCTCACTTAAAGGGTGGAGGCATCTCTCCAGATACTGATTCCTGTAAACTAATGGCTTTGATTAATTTAGATGAAAGAGACACTTATAATAAAACATCCCATTTTGGGTGCAGCTATGTGGGTGGATTGTACACCCGTAAAAAAGAGAGAACCTCTGTATTAGCTAGACCAAACACAACAGGGTTTGGTGCTACATTAGCTCCACCTGTAGTCATCTAATATCACCCTTTATAATTCTATCAGATAGTACCTCATGCAACACCTGCAGATAAAATTGAAGGTAGATAGGAACAACCAGTTGTATATGGCCATTGTGTAAATGATTATGCCCTCAGTGTACAAACTATATGGCTATCCTGCATCCCATGCATGAAGTCTGAGGAGGATTAAACCACCAAGCAAGTCCTCTGCAAATGTAAGGATCTTTATGTTAAGCAACAGAATATTTTCTTTTGTTCTCCTCTTTTCTCCTTTTTGGCTGTCATTAGAGAACAGAAAATGTAGACAATGCTGTGTATTACTGTATTACTGTATTACTGATTACATATGTATTACTGATTACATGCAATCTTTTGGGGAGCTGTAGAGGAACAAGTGTAATCTTTATTAAAGGGATCTTCAGTAGAAACACAAGAAGGATGGTATGTCTAATACTGTGCCTCTGACATAGGATAAGGCTTTTGTCAGTGAGGTAATAAGGCAATAAGGCCTTGTCATGTTATAATTTGTGTGAGCAGAATGTGTTTAGACTGGGTGAGGAGGATGTTTTGGCATTGGGTGATGAGGATGTTTGGTTAAGCCACTTGTTAAGTTGGGTAAATCTGACATCAAAGAGTTTGATAACGTATTTCTAAGATCTTTGTGACTTCAGTGATGTTGTTAATACAGAAATGATATAAAGATAAATAAACTGACACTTAACCAACAAAATAGGTTAGCCCCAAGTATACTGTAGGATAGATCAGTGTATGTGGCTTTAGATGAAGTGGGCTGAGTTGTGAAAAGGCATGGCTTCCCAGTGCTTTCCCCATCATTTGACAAGTAACTGCTGGTTGTTTCCTTCTGCTGCGCAAGAGTGGTACGTATGAAAGGGACAATGAGCTACAATGACCTGTTTCTTGGATTCTGGGAGTAAGTAATGTTACACATAAATCAAGCGACTAGCTTAAATTAACATGTGGTGACTTGCAGTGCTTTCAGTGTAACTAGCTAGCAACAAACCTAGCAAAAGCTGCAAGTATGTAATTAGACTCTTACCTAAAGAGAAGGCCAACAAGAACCTTTGGCAGCACAGCTCCACCAAGGAGCTATGAGGAGTACAGGTGACCCAAAGCTGTATGGATGGTCTAAGCTTTTGCTGTATCTCTGTGAGCTGCAAAGAAAAACCTCAGTGTCTTCACAGTGGCAAAATATGGAAGAGAGTCTGTAATGTGCAGCTGCCATGACCTCTTTGAATTTCTGTCATGTGGGAAGGTTGGTGCCTAGGACAGCATGGATACTTAGGGAGACACTCTATATTTCACATGATGCAACATCCATATGAGAGGGACCTTCTCTTGCATTTAGTATGGTGGACACTGATGTGACTTAAAGCTTTAAGTTGTGCTAGAAATAACCATGTTATTGGACACTGTGCTAACAGATGATTGTAAATGCTTTTCCAGCAGACTGAAGCGTAGTGTTATCCTTGTGGGTGCCCCAGTCAGGGTGTAAGGTTTCTTCTTATTCCCACTAGCACAGGGGTGAATCATGGGCTACTTTGCTTAGCTTCAAATGGTAGACAATTGCCCTCCGTCTCAAATCATTTATCCATACTGATTTCTACCACAGTGGAAGGCAGTGATTCTTGTGGAGCTAACAGGCCAGCAAGGTCCTTCACCTTGAAGCATTGAGAAAGTTTTAATTCTTTCCCAGGTCCTCTCCTGGTGGGTCAGGACTGCACTTCTGTAGTTGTTGCCCACCCTTCCCCAAGACCTGTACAGGCGTCTTAGGCTTGGACCTACCTCAGCAGTCACCAAGGTCTCTGAGAAGACTTTCTTTCACCTCAGTGGGTATTAAAGCATAAAAGCATCTGGATGGGTGAGTCTTTTTTGTGTTCTCCACTTAATTTTCTCAGAAGATCAGTTTTGGATGTAGGTTTTTATTCCTAAAATGCGGCTAGTCAGGGAATGAAAGTGATAACAAAATAAGGAGAAAAGGAATTGCTTTCTAATCAGTAAAAGAAACTTTCTGCTCTGAAGTAAATCCCTGTCTCCTTTCTTTTCCAAGGATGCAATGCAAAACATAGACCAAACCTAACTAATGGGATTTTATTTGTCTTAATGATCCTCTGAGCATAGGAGATGCTTGATAATCAAACTGAGATGACACCTGCCACTGTGAAATTCTGTTCCTCAAAACTGAGGCAATCCAGCAGATAAATGATATAACGTGTTTCTCATTATGGTATTACCATAAAGTCAGACAGCCTTATGTTTACTGTGCAAATAATTAGTCACTGGGCAAATCAGAAAAAAAGAAAGAAAATAATCCCACCATCACCTTAAATTACCTGTCAAGCATTTACCTCCGTTTGTCTTTTAGGGCATTCATTTTTTGCCGTGTGGTCCTTGTTCTTGATTAGTTTAACAACCCCCCTGCATTTTGACAGAAGAAGAAAAGAAGAGGTGATTATTACAGTTACTGCTCTTGCTTTGCCTTGAAAGTCCATTCTAAAGGAGGCATTAGAGAAGGCTTTCTTGTGGCTGAGAGATCAGATTACCACAATTAAAGTAAAAAGGTGTGGTGCTATTTACCCTGCGTGTTATGACACATGAAAGAAAGTGATTCAGGCAAGAAAAATAATTACACATTAATTTGTGTTTGGCAACTTTATTTCATATACGTGGCCCACAGAGCTTAGATAAAAAGCTATTTTGTCCAGCCTGTTCTCTGTGAGCTTGAAGGAGGGCTTATGCCGCTGTACTACATTTTACAAGGAGTTGTCTGTGTGCGTATGTGGGGATGAGGAAATACGTGGGGCTAACCTTCTGGTCGTACACTACAACAGGCATTACCTTGCACTAATTATTCGTCATGAAGTCCCATACTGCCACTTTGGTTTCACTCAACTGACAAACCCAGAAACTCACTCCAGGTTTGACAAAATTCTCGCGAATCTGAGAACATGTAGAGTTTCTAAGTCAGTTCATACGGCTGTCGATAGGATTTGGGTCCAAAGGTGCAACTCTGAAGAAGCAAATTAGCTAAGTTCATACAGGTTTCTGTAAACTAGGCGGGTAACTGCAGTGTGCTCTCAGCACAGCTCGAAAGGAAGTTTGGTCTTTGCAACTGCATAATATGTGGGCAATGAATCGTGTGCGAATTCCTCTTATGCCTTGAGAAAATATCCCCTTTATTATACTGGCAATAACACATAGGGAGGCAAGCTCCAAAACACCCAGGAGGGTTTCAGTGGTGTCACACCAGGTTTAGTAGTATATTAGAAATGCAGGATGCTAGAACTGTGAATAATGTAACCTGAACATGAACAGCATAACTACAGTACAGCTCTCTTACTGTAAATAATTTCAGCAATAGAACCTTGACAAAATCAGATCATTTCAGACAGTGCAGTTTCTGTGCTAGCCAGAAGGTAATTTTACAAAGATGATCTTGAACTGGCATTCCTGCAGGTTTTCATAAAATGATACACAGATACATATCAGGTCTGTGAGCACAACTGTCTCTTAATTAGAGAAACCACCCTCAAAATGGAAGAAACAGCAAAAGAAGCTTCAAAAAGAAGGTCTGATATCTTATTTTCATTTCTATCTTCAGAGGAAGCTCTGAATAAGGTTGTACAGTTTTACTGACTTCAAGACAACCTAATGTTAACAGGACAATGACAATAGCAGAATATTTGGCCCTCAGGAGAATATACTCATATCCCTATAGTAATAACTTAGTTCAAGGAAATGGCAGTTATTCATAACATGAAAAGAACAAATACATGAATTGTAAACCCACAAAGCTTCATTTTCCCACAAAGTAAGCTTTTTGCATAAATCATCATTACCCATTGCAAAGAGGCAGTTTTAATATTAAGGAAAAGTTTGCTGTTCTTATATCAATATGTATGTTGGACTGATTACCTGAGCATGGAAAGTGAATGCATTTACATTAGTAAACAAAATAAAATTTCTGGATATACTGGAAATATCTAGCCAATGGAACTGAGTTTGTTTTCTTATAAAAATCTGTGGAATAATTTTTATAGAACAGTCTAAAATGGTATCATTTATTCTGTGTGCTGGTTAAAGATTATATTGATTTAGTTCAGCAATTATTGAGTCTTTTCTTTCTGCCAACCTCATTTTAATCTTCCCGACAAGAGACACTGAGCTTTTTACTTAAAACTACAAAGAATTAATTCTAATCTGTGACCTACAGAGTCTGGGGAATGCATGATACTTTGGTAAAATGCTTTTATTGGCATGGCGCTAGGATGGCCGCATTACTTGCAACTGGCAGAGATATTAGCACCTTCTGTAAGCTACAAGAGTTCCACATAATCCTTTGACACATTTTACATTCCATTTTTGCACTATATGGCACAGATAACACAAGCACAGCTGCACCGGGTGAAACTGGAGATCTGCCTAGACCAGTAGCCTGTCTCCAGCAGTGGCCAGTAGCAGATATTAAGGGCAGAGCATGTGGATAGGACAAGCACGTGGTGATTATTCCCCAGGATTTGCTCTCTGCCTCCAGCTGTTTGTGGCTTAGGGATATCTCGAGCCAGAGTTGGCGCCTGCCAAACCAAGAGCTCTTAGAACATCAAACATGCAGAAAGGCACTTTCATGTGTATCATGAAGAGGACAAAGTGTGTTTATGAAAAGCAGCTAAAGGTCCATTTTGAATGACTAGCTACTTCTAAGAAGAATGAATACAAACGTTTCTCTGAAAAGATAAACATGCAACTGCTGCATTCATTTCTGAGTGCTTTTGAATTCTCTGTATTTACTGGCAGGTGTCAGCACTAAGAAACACAATTAAGGTCTGGATAGTCCTGGATCATAATGTGCCTATGCTAGGTAGCTTCAGTTGTTTAATCTGCCCCAGGAGACTTGGAAGGTGGCCAGAGTCATTGACAAGTTCATAAAATGTAAGTGCACCCTTCAAAGTCTCAGAAATGCTTTCAAAAAAGAAAATAAGTGTGGTGTTTCCATTGTGCTTCAGAAAACAAACCCTTCAGGAAGAAAAAAAAATGGAAACATATGAAACGTAAATTGGATACACTCAAAGTTAATGAAAGGAAAATCTTTTTCCATTTTAGTTAATGTCTTAAATTAGAATTTTGGTATAAAAGCTGGAAAACAGATGGAGAGGTTATATTTTTTTAAAAATAATTTGTTAGTGAGTTTGAGGCTCATGAATAGAAGTACCTAATAATAGCATTGGCTAGAGCAACACTTAGGGTAGACTGCAGCTACATTGGTTTCACCACTGTAGCTGTCCCACTACATTGCAGGAACCTGCCTGTGTCTCCCACAGCCACATCTAGCACCAGAAAGCTGCTCCTGCTCCACTCTTTCCCCAGTAGTCCTGAGTTGGGTTACATCTTTTTTGTTGTTTGTTTCTCCATTCTCCCTTGGACCCCAGCACAGTTCATTTCTGACAGTGTGTATGAAGATCTCCACCTTTCCCAGTCTGATGCAGCCTGACTTGAAAACCTTATACTTATCTTCTCACCTTCCTAGTTCTTGTCCCTTTTTAGCTGGGGGCTACTTTTTGTTTCACATTATTCAGATTTTCCACTGGTCCTTCCACTGCTTTTGGTAAAATTCATCAAGCTATATATTTGCAATTTACACTAACAAAAGTAATAAAGAAAGGTTATAAATCCTTGTCTTGAAATTGCCCATCAAGTACTGGTTTTCTTAAAAAAAATAAATCCCTTTTTTTCCATTCCACAGCTTTACATGTCTTTTTTCCTCTGTTTTTATCAGCCATCTTGTTTGCATAGCTGCTTCCCAGGATATTTGTCATGGCTGGCTTACAGCACACTCTGCTGATTTACAGCAGCAATTAATAATTTCATATCTGTTGGGAGGGGATGGATTTCTATCTTACAAGGATGAGTAGCAAATGATACCCACAAGTCTGGAAAATGCTGATGAGCATTTTTTCATCCAAATCAAAACACAGGGTTCATGCACAGGTGACAAGCTGGAGAGGAAGGTGTTGAGCAAGTATGGAGGGCATCAGAGAGCTTTTTGTAAGTCCCAGGTGGGAGTGGGACTGACGTTCTGTCCCGATTCAGTGGTGTCTATCTTTCCACCCATGGGGTGAGATCCTCCACTCCTGTTAGTCCAGCTGGCCCTGCTGGCAACCCCATGCTGGAACTGGCTGGCCCTGCCTGAGCTCTAAGGTCAATGGCTGAGAAGCTGTGAGCAAAGTTGTGCAATTAAACTTGCAAAGCGCCAGCCCACACTCTAGACAGACCTATCTGATTCTTAACTTTGTGAGCCACCAGACTGACACACACTGTTGATTCGTAGGGAGAGGGAAGGGAAAAAAAAATGACCAGGTTTGCTGCTTTCATTAAAATCATTCTGGGACAGAGTTTTAGTCTATATCCATCTTTGTAAGCTAACTCACAAAGGTAAATTGGAGCCAAGAGAAGCTTCTAGCTTTCTCTGCAGATACCAAAGAGCAGCAGAGTGAAAATCAGGAGTTTGTATAACCACAAAGTGAAAAAAGACCCTTCTTTCAATCTGGCCTTTTATTGCAATTTGAGTATATGCACTGATTGTCTCAGGCAGTGAACTGTGAAAAGTTTGCAAGTGCAAGAGAGGTACACAGACCTCATCAATTGTAATAATAATCTTACTTAGTAGGTGCCCATAAATTTTTCCTGTCCCAAACACTGTTTATTTCACTGTACTTGCATGTTCCTTGATATCAGTATAGCTGCATTTCTCAACACTTCCAGAGCTGTCTTCATCCCAACCTTCTCTGGGATTTAAACTCCTTTGCAGTTCAGCACATTTTTGACCTTGCCCTGTGTAGGTTGCATGGCTTTCCCTTCCCACTTGGCTAATCCACCATACTCTTTTCCTCTAAAGCTTTCATACAAACACACTAAACCAAGCAGCAGGTACAAGAACACTGAGCTCCCCCCACTGCTAAATCTCCAAGCTTGGGCTTGTTTATGTTGCCTAGTTTTACAGGTGAGGGGAATACCTGTCAGGTGAGGACAGCCTTTGGAGTTTTTACTGTACTGTGCTGAGCACACTGTCAATATCCAAAATGCTAAGAAGTAGCAAGCAGTGACCTGAAACATGTAACACCTACATTAGTATTTTCCTAGGAATTCCAGCTATAAACTTGAAACTACTGGAGGGACAGGGAAAGGAGGAAGAAAGTAAGTCTCCCTGGGTTTTATTGAATGCTGTTAGTCATTTGAGGTGACCATAAGCTGAAGGTACCTTGGATAAGGCATGAAATGTTGGATTTTTACACATATATAGATCCCTTTAATAACCTGGATGTACACAATTGCCTTTCAACCTAGAGAATTATATAACACTTCACATGGTTTTGCAAGGAGTGTACCAGGGAGTATTTGAAAGGATCTGAGCCAAGAAGCTGTACAGACAGCAAGGCGTCTGTGTTGCCACTACAAAGTGGATGTTAATTACCTAAAACAATACATGTAATAGGCGAAGAGAAAAATGCTCTCCATTGCCTTGCCATACCCACTCATCTAGTGCATCTCTAACTGCACAGTTATTTAGCCTGAAGGGATCATAATTAGCTGCTTCATAAATTAATAAGGGAAAGGAGGAGGGAAGGGGGAAAACTACCAGTGCAAGAATGGTGGGAAACTTTAGATAGGATGTTTCTCGAAGAATGTCGTTAGCACGCATAATTGCTTCATTAAATAAAGACACATACAAACGCACAGGGATTCTCCATCCCTTGAGAGAGAAAGGTTGCTCGATAGGCACTGTGCGGCTCCTAGATGAAGGTCACCCTGGGGGTGCCAGGCAAATGCCAGGTGACTGCCACGCTGTGCTCAGCATTCTGAAAAGCTTCCCATAGAACATGAAAAAGTGATGTGTGGCCAACTGGGATTCAGGACCCCATCTAACACCTTTTATCCAAGGCACTTAAATAGTGTTGTGAGCACTAGTTAGTGAAGTCTTGCATGGTTTATCATGAGCAAGGTGAAGACACGTATCATTGTCCCTATTCTACAGATGGAGAAACTGAGGCAGACAGTGATACATCTTGCTCCATGTCACTTGGCAGGTCAGGATCTGGCCAGCTGCACTAACCGCCACTGCCAACCTCCAACTGGGTATAATGAAGCTGTTGGAATCCCATTTACATTAGTTAATTGCAAGTTCATAAAAAACAATTGGTTTTATTTCCTCTATTATGCAAAGAATTTTCAAGGTGGGAGAAGCATCTACCCAGTTTGCAACCAGACACTAGACCCATTTAGCTAATTAGTTGGTTCCAGGCTGGCAGTTAGATGCATTCATACATCTTCATACACCATTACCACAGTCTGTTTTGGAACCAAATCCTCTTCTGAGACAGTGGAAATACCTCCAAAAGTACAGGAAGGGGACACATGCTCTATCTGACAAGAGGTGTTGCACCATGTTCCTCTTTTTGTGAATTTTGCTCCACAGACTTTCACACTTTTAATCTGTTAATCCACATCTTGGATCCAGAGCCTGTGTTTTGGGGCTGTTTCTGCATATTTTTTCTCTTAAAAGCCAGGCTTCTTGAATCACAGGGAGGTGAGGGATGTGACTTGAATGTAGTCCAACAGCAAGTCTCAATGGTTCAAAGTCAGGAATGGAATTCAGCTCCCAGGCTTCAAGGAAAACTGGGCCAAAAGGAAACTCTGCTTTTCCCATTCTAGGTTGGCCAGCAAGCTAAAAATTAGGCAAATAGGAAGCATGTCCCACCCTGAGCAATATGGAGACTGTGCTTTTAAAACTGCAGCTAGCCTTTTTTGGTGGTAACTATCTTTCTACAGGAATATGTGGGATTTCAATAGAAGGGCATGTGGGGCATTTTCCATCTGATTTTAAAGTATCCCCTGTGTATAGTTATTTGCATTCATCCTTACTAAACACTTCTTTATCTCCTGAGTTTCTTCTTTTTCCCTCAGAGCTGGGTTTGTTTTTTGTTGTTTTCCAATATCTTTATGCTCTTCTTCCTTTTCCTCTTTCTGGCCATGAGTCTGGCAATTTCTGTAATGAAGACATTTGCTCACATGAAGAAAGTATTTTTGCTTTATATTGAAGCCTTACTTTCTTTTATTACCCCACTCCTGAATGCCCGTTTTAGATCACGCATCTCCTGCAGTCTTGCACATTTCCATAGCTTATGACATGCTGTCCCACCATTAGGATGTTGTTTGCCTTCCTGTTTATACCTTTGCACTTCTCAGTGTCTAACCATGCCTCTGTTCCTGACTACCTTTTCCTTTTTATCCCTCTTCTTGGAGCCTCCCCTGCCTCCCCCAGCCCCCCTCAGGCTTCCCAGTGTCCTGTAAACCCAGAACAATCTCATGCCTTTGTTTGCCCAGAGAAATAACTTTCTTCCCAAGTTACTGAATTCTGTAAAGCTATTTGCAAAGTAAGAATGGGATATAACAGCCTGCCTCTGAGGT